ATGACAATGACCCAAAACAAAGGAATGGCTCAAGAAGAAGCACATTAAGGTCTCCAGACCTTAATCCGATTGAAAATCTGTGGAGGGAGCTGAAAGTTCGAGTTTCCAGACGTCAGCCATCAAACCTTAATGACTTGGAGAGGATCTGCCAAGACGAGTGGGCCAAAATCCCTCCTGAGATGTGTGCAAACCTGGGGGCCAACTCCAGGAAACGTCTGACCTCTGTGATTGCCAGCAAGGGATTTAAGACCAAGTACTAAGTCATGTTTTGTGAAGGGGATCAAATACTTATTTTCCTCATGAACATGCAAATCAGTCATCATTTGTTAGAGGCATTTCTTTAGAATTTGTTGTTGTATTCTGTCTCTCAGTGTTACAATACACCGAACATTCCATTTTTAGACCGATCATTTCTTTGTGAGGGGCGAACATTCAACATCAGCAGGGGAGCAAATATGCATTTCCTTCACTGTACTTAAGGTATTTAGCAATACGCATGCCAGGGTGGAAATGATGGTGGGAACCAGTTGAACCGTTTAATAGTCATCCAGATTCTACCCAGCACATGTCTGTACAGATTAGTTTCAACTTCCATGATCCTCCTACCTTCCCGAAAGAAGAGTTTGCCCTCGTCTCTGACACATCCAAACCTATCTGGATCCAGATCAGGCTAAACACCAGTGGAGGCATTTCTAAAACTTATGCTGTTCTTTTTTGGTTAAACAGAGGGATTAGAAATGTAGTTAAATTTGCAAGGAACCAACCTTGAACGTGATGTGATGCAGCATTTTTACATAGCTTTGTATTGGAGACTTCCACAGTTTGGCCATCCTCATATCTCTGCTCTTTGGTTGAAGTTTTCTTCCCCTCACTGGTACGTTGGATTGAATGTTCTGACTGCTCACCTGAAGGAAAAATAGGCATCTTACCAACTTATCAACTGACGTTAAATTCATCATATGCTGCAAATACGCAATAAATTACTGCTGTAAGGTAGACCGACCATGGATATAAAACAAAATTAATTATTATTACTGTCAAAATAATTGTTCATGTGTTATTATTATTGATATCTCTTTCTGGCAGATGCTTTATTACAGGAAACCTCTGCTGAGATAACGATGGAGGGCATAAATCGTCATTCTGGAGTTGCAGAAAAGAAACAAAACTCTACAGCTCCAAAATATTCTGTTCAGCAGAGCACTGGCTGCTGATGCCAGAAGAAGCTTGTCCTAGCTCCAAAGAAGATCCACCTCACAAAAGAAGATCTGCTGCACACCAGATTGTTCCAAAGATAGAAAACAAATTGAATGAACAGAACACAATACAACAGAGAACTTCATTTGGGGAACTTCTCACTGATATGTTTCACTCATAGTTGGGCTTAATTGTCGAAATCCTTCCTGTAGCGGATCATTCTGGAGTTCCCTGGATGCCTGGGTGATCCACTTTAAAATGGTTGTAAACCTCAGACATGAAATGTGAACAAAGCATATCCCTCTATAGTGTGTACTTGTCTCAATTAAGATCACTTTTTTCTGCTGCTTTGTTCCTTTGCTATCATCATGAATCTCTGCTAACAGGTTTTCCTGACACCATAAGAAAAATGGTGACAGGGGAGGGAGCTCCAAGAGATTGGCATTCGTAGATCTATTCCTGTGAGCTATGTGAAGGGGGGTATGTCCAGGGGCGGACTGACCATTTGGAAACTCAGGCACTGCCCGAGGGCCCGGGGTCAGTAGAGGGCCCCATGAGATGCCCCTGGTACCTTTTTCATAGGCTTTTTTGAGTTTGGGCAAGGACACAGGGGCCCCATGATCCCCTATTGCCTGGGGGGGGGGGCCCCATGAGTTGTCAGTCCGCCCCTGGGTATGTCCTTTCCCTGCAATCATCTCTCAGAGCTCTCCTCGCTGAGCTCTGCAGAGTGTAACTTCAGCTCCCCACCTCCTGTTTTTCTCAACTCTCAGACAAACTTTATCAATTCAGCACTTTGAACAGATGCAGAGAAGAGAAGACTGCAGATAAACAGGTACAACGTATGTAGGATGATTTGTTTCATCTCTGTGTATGACCTGAGGCCAGTCACTTCACTGGGGATATGTCAGGGTTTACAAACACTTCAATACATTCAGATCAAAAGGGATGATAGTGAATAGGGTGAAGTTATTTTCACTTTTAATACTCAGTCATGAGCAACGGAATAAAAAAAAAAAAGTTTTGCCCGAAGTGAAGTAAACAAAACTTCTTTTTTTGGTAAGTTAATAATCATTTCAATAAATTGACCCTTTTTTTTATATATATATAAAGGTCTGAAATTCATATTGTGGTACGATATAAACTTCTTCCAGCCCCTGTAACTTTGTATACTTTTGTATACGGTATATACATGGACCACCTTTTTGGGATATTCCAGTATATATAAAACCAATGTCTTCATCTGATTGCAGTAGACATAAATCAGGAAGACACCGTTTGAACAAAATTTTTGTAATAAAATTTGCTGCTCAGATGTATGAGGTAATGGATAGATAAAAATAAACGTATATATATATATATGCGCTCGATTTTATATAATGTTTGTAATAACCCTATAGAAGCAAAAAAATAAGCACGTACAAAGCTGTTCATAACACTGCCCCAAACTACATCACCGACCTGATATCCAAATACCACCCAACACGCACGCACTCTCCGCTCCTCACAAGACCTCCTACTCTCTAGTTCCTTGGTCTCCTCCTCCCATGCCCGCCTCCAGGACTTCCCCCATCCTCTGGAACTCCCTGCCCCAATCCATCAGACTATCACCTACTCTCTTCTCCTTTAGATGCACCCTGAAGACCCATCTCTTCAGGGAAGCCTACCCCGCCCTCATCTAATTGCTGATCTCCTCCACTCTGCCTACCATTCCATCCCCCACAGCTATTTCCTCCTGTACCAATATCCCCTCCCTCTGCCAGGAATGGACTCGCCAATGGTGGTGGTACTCGCCTGCCTTGTGGGCTGCAGTACCAGGGCTGGCCAGCGGGTGCTCTCAGCAGCCAGAAGCTTACTCCTGCAATCAAGCCATCACCTGAGGCTGATTGCAGGAGGTGTATTTAAGGAATGGCCAGGCCTGCAGTCAGTGCCTTGGTGTATTGCTCCCTTGTGCCCTGTATCCTGATCCTGTATCCTGCCTGCTTGACTCTCTGCTTTGATCCTGACTCTGCATGAACTCTGCCTGTACTGACCTCGGCTACTCCTGACCACTCTCCTGCCTGTTCCTTGTACCTTGTCTGCCCATTAGCTACCGACCCGGCCTGCCTGACTATGTTTGGTGTTGTACATATTGTTATCTGTTGGAGGTTTGGTTTTGTTTACAGTGTGTTTATGTATTGTTTAGCCCTTAATAAATTGTATTGTTTTATACTATACCTGAAGTCTGTGTTTCCCTGTGTCGGTCCACACACCTCTGGTCATACCTGGAGCCCTGACCCCCTCCTAGATTGTGAGCTCCAAGGAGCAGGGCCCTCAAACCTCTCACGTATCGAATTGCATTGTTACTGTACTGTCTCGTGTACTGTCTCCCATTATAATGTAAAGCGCTGAGCGAACTGTTGCCGCTATATAAATACTGTATAATAATAATATTTGATGGATCTATCATGCCGATGAAGATGTGTCCAGATTTGCCTGATCCGGATTTCTGAGCACAGGAGGTACTTGGTGTCCTTAATGTTTTAACAGCCAGAGAAAGCTGTGTGTGTTATGTGAGAGCCCGTGTAATAATCTGTTTCCAGCTGAAGATTGGAGGCATTTCCTAATAAAAGTGTCAGAAATGGGGATCTATCGCAGCCAAGTCCATGAAAGTGCAATTTTTAAAGGAGAAGTCCAGCCAAAGCTCTTTTTAAGGATCACAGGAGTGTAGTGTAGTAGATGGTCAGGAGGATCAAGACAGAAGGTGGGAGCAGCAGAGCTGCTAGAGAGAATGAGAAGACTAAATATTATTTAATTTTGTGTTGATGGTGGAAACCCTGTGAAGGAAGCGGTTTGTTTTGCTGGACTTTTCTTTATGTTTAACCGCTTCCCGACCCCCTATAGCACAAATACTGCTACAGGGCAGCACAGGTGCACAAAACCATGTATAGATACTTGATTTTGCATCTCCTGGTAGGCGGTACGTGCGCCCTACCTACACCGCCGTTTCTGTCAATCACTGGGTCCTGGCCGGTAATTACTCACTGGCACCCGGCGATTTCTGAAGATCTCCAACGGGGAGAAGGATTGTTTTGTTCGCTAACAGTTCTCCTGCCTGTCAGCTCGGGCACACTGCACAGCACAGCCATCCAGAGCAGTGTGAGTACAGTGAAGCATACTCACACCGCCCCCAAGCAAAACACTCCCAGCACACAGTTAACCCTTTGATATCCTCTCTGCCCAGTGTCATTAGTAGAGTGTCAGTGGTATTTATTAGCACTGATCACTGTATTGGTGTCACTGGGGATGTCAGTGACACCAAGTCAGTTTCCCCCCAGTGTCAGAATGCCGCCGCAGTCCTGCTATAAAGTCTCTGATCGCCACCTAGTAAAAATAAAATTTAAAAAAAAATCCCAGTATCTATACCGCCATTTGTAGACACTATAACTTTCACGTAACCCAATTAATTTACATGTATTGGGATTTTTTTTAGTGGAGAAACGGAGCAGAATACATTTTGGCCTAAATTTGTGACGAAATTTGATATTTTACATTTTTTTACTGGATATGTTTAACCCCTCGCCTACCGGGCACTTTCACCCCCTTCCTGCCCAGGCCAATTTCCAGCTTTCAGCACTGTCGCACTTTGAATGATAATTGCGCGGTCATGCAACACTGTACCCATATGACATTTTTATCATTTTTTTGTGACAGATAGAGCTTTCTTTTGGTGGTATTTAATCACCTCGGGGATTTTTATTTTTTCTTAAACAAACCAAAAACCACTGAAAATTTTGAAAAAAAAAAAGTTTTTTTCTTAGTTTTTGTTATAAAATTTTGTAAATAAGTGATTTATTATCCTTCACTGATGTGCACTAATGAGGCTGCAGTGATGGGCACTGATAGGCTGCACTGATGGACACTGATAGGTGGCACTGATGGGCACTGATGAGGAGGCACTGGTAGGTTGCACTAATGGGCATTGACAGGCATCACTGATGGGCACTGAAAGGCAGCACTGATACATGACACTGATATATGGCACTGATAGGCGGCACTGATAGGCAGCACTGTTAGGCGGCACTGACTGGCACTGTTAGGCGGCACTGTCTGGCACTGATAGGCTGCACTAACAGGCACTGATAAGCACCACTGACTGGCACTGATAGGTGTCACTGATTGGCAGCACTGATAGGTGGCACTGATTGGCACTGATGGGTGACATTCAAAGGCAGCTCAGATGGGCACTGATATGTGGCATTGATGTGCACTGGTATGCACTGGTATGTGGCACTGATGAGCACTGACACAAGGCACTGATGGACACTGACAGGTGGCACTTCTGGGGCCACACTGATCATCATGTCCCCGCCGCAGAAAGCCGATTGCTCTCCTCTGTCTGCGTGACAGCTCGAGAGGAGAGAAATGCCGATAACTGGCATTTCCGTGTTTATATGTGATCAGCTGTGATTGGACACAGCTGATCACATGACCGAGCCGACATCTTCGGCTCTTTCCGTGATCCGCTGTGTCCGAGGAGCACAGCGGACCGGCGATCGCCGCGCATGCGCAGTGAGAATGGAAGGACGTCATATGACATCCTATCAGAACGAGAGAACCACCTTGCGCCCGTCATTTTACTATATGGCGGCTGGAAGGTGGTTAATAGCAAAAAGTCAAAAATATTGTTTTTATTTCAAAATTGTTGGTTTTGTTTTTTTTACAGCGCAAAGAAAAAAAAAAAAAAAACGCACAGGCGATAAAATACCACTGAAAGAAAACTCAATTTGTGGGAAAAAAAAGGATGCAAATTTCATTTGAGTGCAGCACTGCATGACCGTGCAATTGTCAGTTAAAAATAACGCAGCGCCGTAACACAACAAATGGCTGGTCAGGAAGGGGGGGGGGGGGGGGAATCCTCTGGAGGGCAAGGGGTTAAATAAATGTGAGCCAACAAGTCCTTAAACCATAGACTGTACTCATTGGTGAGCATTACACTTAAGCTAAACATCCCCCAACCATTACATTAGAAATACAAAGATATTGTTGTTAATACCCTTTTCTGAGGAGTCTAATATCTGAATGTGAGAATAGTATGTTGATGTGTGGGAGATGATGTGTGGATGATAATGTGTGGGAGATGATGTGTGGATGATAATGTGTGGGAGATGATGTGTGGATGATAATGTGTGGGAGATGATGTGTGGATGATAATGTGTGGGAGATGATGTGTGGAAGATGATGTGTGGGACATGATGTGTGAAAGATGATGTGTGGATGATAATGTGTGGAAGATGATGTGTGGATGATAATGTGTGGGAGATGATGTGTGGATGATAATGTGTGGGAGATGATGTGTGGGAGATGATGTGTGTGGATGATAATGTGTGGGAGATGATGTGTGGATGATAATGTGTGGGAGATGATGTGTGGATGATAATGTGTGGGAGATGATGTGTGGATGATAATGTGTGGGAGATGATGTGTGGATGATGATGTGTGGGAGATGATGTGTGGATGATGATGTGTGGGAGATGATGTGTGGATATGTGTGAAAGATGATGTGTGGATGATAATGTGTGAAAGATGATGTGTGGATGATAATGTGTGGGAGATGATGTGTGGATGATGATGTGTGGGAGATGATGTGTGGATGATGATGTGTGGGAGATGATGTGTGGGATGATGATGTGTGGGAGATGGTGTGTTGGAGATGATGTGTGGATGATAATGTGTGGATAATGATGTAAAGGAGATGATGTGTAGATTGCTTTCAACTATCTACCGACTCTGTGAATGTATTTTGAAGAGACGACCAAGATACTCGTACCATTCACCACAAATAAGGTTGTCCTCATACCAAATATGAAAGAACTCTACCCCAGAGATCAGCCAGGCATGTAATTAACAGACATTCATCAATGGCAATAGTAGGACATCAACTTCCGGTTTCAGTGATTCCAAGGATCAGCATGTCATATCAGGCCGCATTTGAGGAGAGCAGAGACCACACATAGTGTAAAAGTTGTGACATCAGCGTGCTCATTGTGTGGTCAGCGGTGAGGTATTAGTATATGCTGTGGAAAGCTGTATTTTCTTTGACCTCTGTAAGTACCTGTCAGTTGTTTTAAATAAATTGTTTGATGGATCTAGCAGTAAAATGAACGGGTCCCTAGGTAAAAAAGTATATTGAGAGCATTGATAATATTCACCACTCCTTGCCAGTACGGTTGTAACTTGGAGCAAAATCAGAACATAAGACTGGGTCCAGTATGGAAACCAAGTATGGGATTGTTGGCTTACCCCACAGCGGAGTATGGGGGGAATGAACACCAGGAGAGAGATAGCGGGCCCTAGCTTGTGCCAAGAAGTGAAGCGTCATTCTAATTGGGACTGTGATAGCAGAGCTGGAAGATGTTCCCTGGTATGCCAGCTTGCTAAACTCAGCATAGGAGCCAAGTGAGGCCGCCTCCAAAATAACAGCCCATGATTGTTTCCACCTTTTTTTTTTCATCCCTTTGTTACATCTTGGTAATGCCAAACTCCATCAACCTCTTTTTCAGCCACTCCATGACTATAGGTACTGCGGAGATGACTATATGGCATTTCTCAGAAAGGGTTTCCTGATGTTGACAACAGTGGAGTGGATCATAGCTGGTTCTAGTATATAGGCTAGAACTTGCTGACTTCTAATATCTGGCAAAGATCTCAATCATTGGAATATGAACTAAGTGTATTAGTTTTGCCATTTCTAATGATTGTTATTAGTACAGTATAAGATCTGCAATACCTGTGCCCTTCAAATCCACAGGTCGCCTCCCTGATCCACTGGTAAATCAGGTGCTTGACCTTAAGGCTTGGTTCACATCTGTGTAGGTGGTGCTGCTGCGAGACTTGCACAAATACCTGCAGCTGCACCACCCATACAGAGGAATGCAGGACCCACGGGAGGGTGCCATTATTTCTAATGGCATGCTGCCCTCACTGGAAATCGCAACCATACTGGGAACCTCAGTTCCCATGCGGGCTGTGATTTTCAAAGAAGTGCGGGGACTTCTTCATTCAAATGACTCGGCTCTCATGCCCACAAAAAATCGCGGCCCACACGGCAGCACATATGTGAACCTGGCCTAAGAGACTGTCTACGCTCTACATCTACAGCAATCAGCCAAAAAAGCCCACACACTGATGTTGTTACTCCACTGATGCTTATTCCACCAAATTGGATTACAGCTTTAGGTCCAATAGGGGTAAAACACATCAAAGGGACTGGCCACAGGTGGGGACTACCACAAGCCAGTGTGATGTCATCAGTGTGTGGGTTTTCTTGGATGATCACTGGTTTTGTTGTTATTATTATGAATGGAATATTATTTTTATTTGAACACCAAAAATATATTTCTTAATGAAAGAATATCAGCCACAACCTTTTGATATAATTAATAAGTGAGTGTGAAAGTCGGTGGTATTTGGTGGAAAGCAGTAAGCTACAGCAATCACATTTCAGGGTTAGCCTGTTAGAGCAGTCAGATTAAGTAAAGATGACGTCTGATTGGTTGCTTCTCTTGGTTATCAGGTGATTATAAGACAATGTATACATTTTGTACTTTGAATCCCAATAAGTCTTCCTTGTGTTCCATCTGTGACACCAACATTTTTTTAACAATAAATGCTCTCAGAATGATGTCACAGTGTGACTTCAGTGGCATAATTATCTCGCCCAGGTCTTCATTGGACATCATGGCATTTAATTTCCTCATCTTCTTCTGAAAGGTTGGGAGACAGGTCACATGTTCTGATGCCTTCTCTTCTTTACTGAACAAAAATAGATCCTTGGCCAATCTAAATATACTGGGCTGTTCCTTTTCTATCCGGGACTTCATCTGATCACTGCTGTCCCCCAGATCATCAATCACCACTATAACCCTCTCCTGTCCTAGAAAAATAAATCAAAGAATAAAAACGGGACTGACTACCAAGTCTGAATACACGATGAAGAACTAACTTTGTGAATTACTCCCACAGTTTCAAGCACACAATTGTCTAAAATATCTTAGTATGTTGTAGTATTAACGGGGCCCTTCTCTGGAAATACCTCAAGTCAAGAATATGGAGGAGTGTCTGCACACTATACCCCATATAATGAGAGCTGTGATGGCCAGGGGTCCACAAAAAATGTTTAAAAGCAGTTATATAATAGTTTATAAGTAGTGATGATGGGCTGAACACCCCCCTGTTCGGTTCACGGTTAAACATTCAATCCTAACGAAAGTTTGGTCGCAAACTTGGAACAGAGGGGACAACTCACTAAAGCAGTGTTTTACTGCATCTGAGTATGTGATAGGATACCGCACAGCTGCTAAACACATCTTTAATGTTTCGGCTGTCAGCGGGATTCCCCGCTGACAGCTGAATGTAAAAAGAATGGCCGGCATTGCCCAGAAATTACATTTTTTGTTTTAAAAGTGCATGTAGTCCTTCCCATCCATGCCAAGCCCTTCGGTTCTGCCAATATTTAAAAAAAAAATGGTGTGGGGGTCCCCCTCCCCCCAAAATCCATACCAGACCCTTATCCGAGCATGCAGCCCTGTAGGTCAGGAAGGGAGGAGTTGAGCGAATGCCCCCCCTCACCTGACCATACCAGGCCATATGCCCTCAACTTGGGGGCGTGCCTAGGGGCAGTGCTCCCCCCAATGCCACCTTGTCCCCATGTTCATGGTGACAAGGGCCTATTCCACACAACCGTGGCCAGTGGTTGTGGGCGTCTGCGGGCGGGGGTGATTATCGGAATCTGGGCCCCCTCATATGAATGAGTATAGGGTACATGGTACCGCTACTCATTCACAAAGAACAAAAAATCGTACTGTAAAAAAATGACAGTATACGGTCTCTAAAAAGGCCTTTATTTAAAATAAAAATGTAACAAATTGTCCCTTGAAGGAGATCCAATGTCAACCATGATGCCTGCCACCACTGCCGACCCGAAAAAAAAAAAAAAATGTTCCTCTCTCGACGCTGGCTCCCAGTTGTCTGACAGCTGCGCCGGGATGACATTTCATAAATACTGCGATGACATCACAAGGGAGTGGGGTCACCCCTGCCCCCTTGTGATGTCATCATGCACTATGGTCAGGTGCATTGCTTTGGCCAATCACAATGCACTGTCAAGGTGCAGTGTATCGTGGGGCGCGGTGGGCATATAGCCCCCCGAACGTCCCTTACCATTTGTGTGTTCAAACACACAAATGGCCGATCTTCAAGTCAAACTTGTATTCGACTTGAACGTCTAGCCCAACACTATTTATAAGGGTGCTCAGATTGGTGGACTCATGATCTCAATGTCATCAATTGACTTTAGATATGTTTTAGGCATTTAGTGCAGGGTCCATCTATCTCACTTTTCTGGAACCCCTCACCCAGTTAAAAAAAAAAAAGATAGACATTTTCAAACATGTCTAGATTATTCAGGGACCTTAATTATCTCATTTTTTTCTTGTGGTGACACAGGAAGTTGCAGACTTTAGATGGTGTAGTATTTTGAACATACACTCACCGGCCACATTATTAGGGTCCACCTGTTCAATTGTTTGGGAACACAAATTACTAATCAGCCAATCACATGGCAGCAACTCAATACATTTAGGCATCTAGATGTGGTGAAGACGACTTGCTGATGTTCAAACCGAGCATCAGAATGGGGAAGAAAGGGAATTTAAGTGACTTTGAACGTGGCATGGCTGTTGGTGCCAGACGGGCTGGTCTGAGTATTTCAAAAACTGCTGATCTACTGGGATTTTACGCACAACCATCTCTAGAGTTTACAGAGAATGGTCTGAAAAAGAGAAAATATCCAGAGGTCAGAGAAGAATGGGCATACTGTTTGTTGCGACATTCAGATGGTAGGATCAGAATTTGGGGTAAACAACATGAAAGTATGGATCCATCCTGCCTTGTATCAATGGTTAGGCTCGGTGGTAGTGGTGGAGTCATGGTGGGGGGGGGGGGGGAGATTTTCTTGGCACTAGCAAGGTGGACCTAATAAAGTGGCTGGTGAGTGTACAGTATGTGATTATCAAAAGTGACTGAATAATAATATTTCTTAAATAATTAATTAGCTCACATTCATATATTGGTTGGAAGAAATGTTTTACAGAGTTTAGTTATTCATGGAACAATTTACTGTATTTTTAGCTCCATAAGATGCACTTTTTTCCCCCCAAAAAAGGGGGGAAAATGTCAGTGCATCTGGAGCGAATATGGAGCGGCCGGTCCGGTATTTCCACCACCGCCGTGTCAGAATACCGGTCCGGACGCTCAGCTCTGCAGTGGGATCTTACATGTTCCTCTATCCAGCGGCGCGCTGGTCTTCCGGCTTCTGTAGTGTGGGGCACTGGGCATGACAGCCAGGTTCCCAGTGCGCATGCGCAAGAAGCGGTGCTCTTCGTGAATGGTAAGGCAGTACCTGGGACACATGACAGATCCCAGAAGCCGCCGGACCAATCACAAAGCGCAGCGCTTCTCACTCATGCGCACTGGGCATCCGGCTGTCATGCCAAGCGCCATTACAGAAGCCGGGAAGACAGCGCACGGCTGGATAGAGGAACAGGTAAGATGAAAGAACAACTCTGGAAGTAAGAGCGGGTACCTGTCAAATTCAGGTACCCGCTCCCCGCCTCCCCAAAGGTCAACAGTCATCTCCTGTACTGTCCGCAGTCTCTGGTCATCCCCTGTACTATGTCCGCAGTCTCTGGTCATCTCCTGTACTGTCCGCAGTCTCTGGTCATCCCCTGTACTATGTCCGCAGTCTCTGGTCATCTCCTGTTTACTGTCCGCAGTCTCTGGTCATCTCCTGTACTATGTCCGCAGTCTCTGGTTATCTCCTGTACTATGTCCGCAGTCTCTGGTCATCTCCTGTACTATGTCCGCAGTCTCTGGTTATCTCCTGTACTATGTCCGCAGTCTCTGGTCATCTCCTGTACTATGTCCGCAGTCTCTGGTTATCTCCTGTACTATGTCCGCAGTCTCTGGTCATCCCCTGTACTGTGTCCGCAGTCTCTGGTCATCTCCTGTATTGTGTCCGCAGTCTCCGGTCATCTCCTGTACTGTGTCCGCAGTCTCTGGTCATCTCCTGTACTGTGTCCGCAGTCTCTGGTCATCTCCTGTACTATGTCCGCAGTCTCTGGTCATCTCATGTACCGTGTCCGCAGTCTCTGGTCATCCCTGTACTGTCCGCAGTCTCTGTTCATCTCCTGTACTATATCCGCAGTCTCTGGTCATCTCCTGTACTGTGTCCGCAGTCTCTGGTCATCTCCTCTACTATGTCCGCAGTCTCTGGTCATCTCCTGTACTATGACCGCAGTCTCTGGTCATCCCCTGTACTGTGTCTGCAGTCTCTGGTCATCTCCTGTGTACTATGACCGCAGTCTCTGGTCATCTCCTGAAGCTCCCCCACACTCCGCACCTTTGACCTTACTACCATCGAGGAAGTCTCCAAGATCCTCTCTGATGCCCGCCTCACCACCTGCCCCTCGACCCTATCCCCCCTCACAACTCCTACGACCTTCCTCCTCCTCCATCCTACGCTCCCTCACCCACATCTTCAATCTCTCCCTCTCTCAGGCACTTTCCCCTCCCCTCTGAAACATGCACACATCACCCCCATACTTAAAAAGCCCTCCCTGGACCCCAATGACCCGAACAACCTCAGACCCATCTCCCTGCTCCCATTTACATCTAAACTCCTCGAGCGCCTAGTCTACACCCGCCTAAGCTCTCAGCTCAACGACAACAACCTCCTCGATCCCCTACAGTCCGGCTTCCGTCCCCTACACTCCACCGAAACTGCCTTACTCAAACTCTCCAACGACCTGCTAACCGCCAAAGCTAATGGCCACTATTCAGTGCTCCTACTCCTTGACCTCTCTGCGGCCTTCGACACAGTCGACCACCCCCTCCTCCTCAAAAAACTACACTCCCTCGGCCTCAGAGATTCTGCTCTTCTCCTGGCTCTCATCCTGCCTGTCACAACGCTCCTTCAGCGTTACCTATAATACTACCACCTCCCCCTCACTCCCCCTCTCTGTTGGGGTCCCTCAAGGCTCTGTCCTCGGGCCCCTTTCTTCTCCATCTATACCTCCTCCCTTGCCAACTCATACACTCTCACGGCTTCAACTACCACCCTCTATGCCGACGACACACAAATCTATCTCTCAACCCCCCCACCCACCTCACCCCCTTGGTCTCAGCCCCAATCACACACCTACTGAGCGACATATCAGACTGGATGTCGCTCCACTTCCTTAAATTGAACCTCTCCAAAACCGAGTTTCTTGTCTTTCTTCCCCCAGCCTGGACAACCAACACCCATTGATTTCTCCATCACGTCCAACAACGCTACACCATCAAACCCGCCCTGCAGGCCAGAGTACTGGGTGTCATTCTGGACTCAACCTATCCTTTCAGCCCCAAGTCCAATCTTTAACAAACTCATGCAGACTCCACCTCCGCAACATCGCCAAAAATCTGCACGTTCCTAACCCCAGAAACCATAAAAGCTCATCCACTCCCTCATACTCATATCACGACTCGACTACTGCAAACTCCCCTCCTCACTGGCCTGCCTCGCCGCTGGCTATCCCCGCTTCAGTCGATCCTGAATACGGCTGCCAGACTCATTCACCTTTCAACCGCTCCGCCACCCCCCTCTGCCAATCCCTCCACTGGCTTTTCCGATTGCGCAACGGATCTCAAATTCAATAATCCCTAACGCTGACGTACAAAGCCTGTCCACCATACTGCCCCCGAACTACATCACTGACCTAATATCCACAGTACCGCCCAGCATACGCACACTCACCACTCCTCACAAGACCTCCTTCTCTCTAGTTCCCTGGTCTTCTCCTCCATGCCCGCCTCCAGGACTTCTCCAGGTGTCACCCATCCTCTGGAACTCCCTGCCCCAACCCATCAGATTATCACCTACTCTCCTCTCCTTTAGGCGCACCCTGAAAACCCATCTCTTCAGGGAAGCCTACCCCACCCCCTGCTAACTTGCCGACCTCCTCCACTCTTCCTACCACTCCAATCCCCCCCTACAGCTATCTCCTTTTGTGCCACACCACCCCCTCCCTCCTAGATTGTAAGCTCGAAAGAGCAGGGCCCTCGATCCCCTCATGTTTTGCATTGTATTGGTATTGTTCTGTCACATGTTCTGTTCCCCTCTGTAATGTTACAGCGCTGAGCGAAAACTATTGGCGCTTTATAAATACTGTATAATAATAATAATAATAAATCTCCTGTACTATGTCCGCAGTCTCTGGTCAATCTCCTGTACTGTGTCTGACGAGTCTCTGGGCTCATCTCCTGTACTGTGTCCGCAGTCTCTGGTCATCCCCTGTACTGGGTCCGCAGTCTCTGGTCATCCCCTGTACTGTGTCCGCAGTCTCTGGTCATCCCATGTACTGTGTCCGCAGTCTTTTGGTCATCTCCTGTACTGTGTCCGCAAGTCTCTGGTCATCTCCTGTACTGTGTCCGCAGTCTCTGAGTCATCTACTCCTGTACTATGTCCGCAGTCTCTGGTCATCTCCTGTACTATGTCCGCAGTCTCTGGTCATCTCCTGTACTGTGTCCGCAGTCTCTGGTCATCCCTGTACTGTGTCCGCAGTCTCTGGTCATCCCCTGTAACTATGTCCGCAATCTCTGACCATCTCCTGTACTATATCCGCAGTCTCTGGTCATCTCCTGTAATAGTATGTCTGCAGTCCATTAGTTCAGAATTTTTTTTTTTTTTCCTGTTTTTCTGCCTCTAAAACCTATGTGTGTCTTATGGTCAGGTGCGTCTTATGGAGCGAAAAAATACGGTACATGTTGTGATGACAGTGAGTGCATTTCTTACCGAGACATTCATGTAACCCTTTCAGTTCTCGTCATACAACGACGATTTCTCCATGTCAGTAACATTGATTCTCCCTCTGGTTACAGTGTGATACAGGATGCTGAATGTGCATTGCTGGACATCATTCCTGAATTGCCGTGATCCATTGTTAGATATATTAGTATGGTTTGATGTCCTTCATCAGATCACTGAATATTTCAGATCTGAGCAGTGGGATCTCAGCCAGAAGTAATCTTCCTGTCTCGTCTGATCTGGAGAAGATCCCAATCCGCAGCTTGGGCTTTAAATAAATAAATTAATAAAATATCAGACAGCAAGAAAAATTCTGCCACAAGGGGAACACACCAAAAAAAATTTAATTATGCAGGGCTTCTAATCTTTTCTCACCAAAATATATTTCTGTCTGTTTTGCTATTACAGATTTCCTCACTTCCAAAACGTTGTTAGCAGGACAAGAATCGATATAAACTCACTAAATGAGTCTGGATAGCAGTAAAAACCTGATAGGGATTCTAATTATTCTCCACCTCATCTAAAATGAACACATCACATTTTGCCTTGACATACAGATTGTAGCGCTACCCTTGAAGGAGCCGCTTGTAGGATGTCCCGTTTCCCATCAGGCACAATGTATTTCTTCATCCAAATACACACACACTTCCGCTCTTTGTCTCCAACGACCAGTCTAGGGTAGGGGTCAGCAACCCTAACCACTCAGAGACATTTGGACCCGTTTCCCACAAAAAAAAAAAAAAAAAAAAAAACACTGGAAGCCACAAAACCCTTATGACATCTAAAATGAAGATTACACTGCATGTATTGCTTTTTACCTTTATGCTATGTATAAAAAAAACTATAATGTGTTGCATTTATGAAATCAATGAACTGTTGCAGAGAAAACAAATGTGTATTTCTCCATGCAACAAAAACATTTTGAACTCCGAAAAAAAAATGCTGGGTTGAAGATTACTTTGAAATCTGTGCCAATGTGTACTGGAGCGTGAAATCAGCTGTCAACCTGAATAAAAAAAAGGACTATTTCACTGAACAATGTAAAAAATAGATGTTTGCAAATTAATAGCCAATTCAAATCTTTATTTTATCTGGTTAATGTGATTTTTGCTCCTGAACCTCAGCACACAGCAGGGCTGTAAGATGTCCCCTTCAGCTTCACACAGGATTGTAAGCTGTCGTCTGTGAGGCAAGCGATGTTTGTTTTTAATATCGTTCATGTTGGAGAAGACCTGCTCACTTACATATGTGGATCCAAAGATTGACAGAACTCCAAATGCATACTTTTTCATGTACCTGTAGGTGTTGGGGATGGCATTCCATGTTTCGAATACAAGTTAGTCTGCTTTGGGAAGTTTTTCAATATGACTCTGAGCAAGAATGGTCTTCTGACGGGCAACATCTTCAAGATTAGTTGTGTCCAGCAGGGTGTCTGGTGGGGGTGTATGGTGGGGTGTCTGGCTGTGTGTTCCGTGGGGTGTCCGGTGGGGTGTCCCACACTGGCAGATGTGACGTATATCTGCAGCAACAGGGAGCAGCAGCAGAGTGCGGCTCCGGAGCCTCGGGTTGCTGAATTGGTCTAGAGGATGTTTTGTTTTTGGAGTTTTATTGTAGAACTGGGAATAGGGATGAGGAATTGTAGTAGGATACTCCAAAATCAGAACTATTCACGCTGAGGATATCTAGCTGATCTTAGAGCACTTGTGACGTCTTGGCTGACAGTAGATAGCAGACTTCCCTTTACTTTGTAGCAACAAGTAGTTTAGGAGAGAGCAAAGTCCTCTTTTTACAGTAGCAGTTACAGGGCAGAGCTCCTCAGGCACAAGCTAGTTACGACAGACTGCGACAGCTCAAAAGTAACGTAACTGAGCAAAGTCCCTTTGCAGTGGCAACACTTGGACAAGCTCTTCAGAACACTAGCCAGTGTTCTCTTTTTCCAGACCCACAGTGACTATCAAGCACCAAGGGAGGTTGCAAGCACACAGAGTCCCCAAATAACTCAATGTCAGTACTCACAAGGCCCAAGGACAGAATGGTTGCCTCCTTCCAATCTTCAAAGAGAAACCCTCCAGTGATACCAGACAGATATTTGGCAGACCGTTCCCCTCAGTTAGCGTACTGTAGAACCAGAGTTACTCTCTCTAACTTCAGGCCCTCAGGTGACCCACCTGAAGCCAGCATGGCAGCCCGTTGCCAGGTGAGGCAGCCTGCCTCCAGCCTGCTGTTCAATCCCTCTCCAGGAAAGATGCTGAACCTATGTGCTCCTAGAACATAAATAACACTCCCAGCATGCAATGGGATTGCCTTCCCCTGCAATTGGCCAGGGCTGTATCCATATTCATGCTTTTCATGTGCCTAGCCCCTACCCATGTTCTAGAATGCTCGCATAGCTTCCTGAAGGTGGGAGAACTGAGACAAACAGCACCAGAACATCATGAGCAGACCTGACCAATCACAGCACTGTCTGTGTTAAGGAGAAAACCACACTGAATTTACCTGGCAGTCTCTCTGGTAAGCAGAGAAACACAGGAATGCCTAACCTAACTATTCAAATCCTAGCACCTAACTAGGAGGGTGCTACAACATTAAATGCTTCCCGACCACCCTATAGCAGAAATACTGCTACAGGGTGAAGGGCTGCGCAAAATTATGCATATATACGTGATCTTGAATCTCCGGGTAGGGGGCACGTGTGCAGCCCTACCTGCGTCACCATTGGCAGCTACAGATGTCGATTATTGGGTCCCGGCTGGAGATTCCCCCTGCTGGCTGATTGACAGGGAGAGACCTGTGTGTAAACAACACAGGTCTCCCTCCTGCCAGCAAGAGTATGCTGCTGTGTATTTCTCTGCACAGCAGAGAAATACACAACAGCAGTATGTTTCCCCAGTAAAACACACACAGTTAACCCTTTGATCACTCCAGATGTTAACCCCTTCCTGCCCAGTGTCATTAGTACAGTGTCAGTTCTTTTTATTAGCACTGATCACTGTATTAGTGTCATTGGGGTGGCGATTAGTCAGTTCCCCCCCCCCCAGTGTCAGAATGCCCTTTGCAGTCCCGCTATAAGTCGCTGATCACAACGCCATAACTATTATAAGAAAAAAAATTCCCAGTATCTATACCACCATTTGTAGACGCTATAACTTTCACGGAAACCAATTAATTTACACATATTGGGATTTTTTTTAGCAAAGACACGGATCAGAATACATTCTGGCAAAACTTATGAAGAAATTGGATTTTTTTTTTACTGGATATGTTTTATAGCAAAAAAAAAATCAAAAATATTGTTTTTTTTTTTTTTTCAAAATTGTTGGATTTTTTTGTTTATAGCGCAAAAAATAAAATATGCACAGGTGATCACATACCACCGAAAGAAAACTCTATTTGTGGGGAAAAAAAAAAGGACATCAATTTAATTTGTTTGCAGCGTTGCATGACCGCACAATTGTCAGTTAAAGTAACACAGCACTGTATCATAAAAAAATGGCCCGGTCAAGAAGAGGGGGGGGGGGATCCTCTGGACGGTAAGGGGTTAATTAATATTATTATACCACAATAAATGATAAACATGTGAATTAGAATTTCATTGCCTTACCTTATTAGGGATCACTTCCGAAGAAAATGTCTGTGGGACAGAAATAGACACTTAGCATTGTTGATGTACTGCTGTATACGGACGAGACATTAATGCCAAGGAACAAAATCATCAGCTATACAACTGACCACAGTTATTTTTATTATCATAGTAGTTTAAGTAAAGTACAAGCTGACATTTTGTAGGCTATACCTTTTGTTAACAAAAAAACACAACAACACACCATTAGAGCAAACAGCAGCCAACACACACACATACACAAACACACCCAGGGCAGTATGACAGTGTAAGGTCCCGCCACTATAGGAATGACACAGGGTTCCCATCAGTGCAGAGTGTGGCACTCCGGTGTGTTTACTATGAGCAGAGCAAGATGTGTTTTCAGCTTTCTCTGGGATTTGTAATCCTGGATTGGGGCTTGGAGCTTGAAGGCTCCTGGATCTATCCCATGTCTGGGTCTTGCTGGAGACCCACAGGCCATGGGAGTGCACAGGTGGCCAGATTAGTTACAAGCCAGGCCTGATCATAGAACATAGTTCCTGTAGCTCTACCCCAAAAGAGTCACTGAAAATTGCCCAGATTCCTTTCCCCAGTGATTGCCCCACAGCCAAGCACACAATCATGGTTACTTTTTGACTCAATAACAAGTCTTGTTTAAAAAAAGTGTTTTGGGGTTTTTATTTTTTTGAATAACTTTAATAGGGTTGAGGGATTTGAGTGGGATACTCCAAAAAGAACTATGTACAAGTTGAGGATTGTAAACTTCCTTCGGCAGGCCTGAAACAAAAGTCCTTGCAAAAATCAAACTGTGGTCTTGGCTTTGTAGTAGAAGCATTTAAAAGCACAAAAGGTTCTTCTTTAGAGCAACCAGAGCAGAGTCTCTTCACAGAGAATTAGATGGACTGTGCTCTTCAGGACACCAGCTGATGTCCCCTTTAGACAAACCCACAGCTGACTCTCTACCACTAGAGGGGTGGCAGCCCGGCTGTCCTTGACAAAAGGTGGTTGCCCCCTTCCAACATCCATGCAACATTTTTTTTCCTGTGATTCCAGACTATATCTTCAGATGATAGCCCCTCAGCCAGCTCTCTGTAACTTTAACATCCAGGCCCTCAGCTAGCCCAGAAATGGCCTCATGAACAGCAAGCAAATGGCAAGGTTGCCCGGAGGGCAGCAAACCCTCTCCTTAAGGAAAATATCTAGAAGTTCAGTGTCTCACAATATTTATACAGACTCCCAACAGATTTCAGAGCCACCCTCCCTGGAATTGGCCAGAGCTGTAAAATATTCATGCTGCTATTTGCATTGCTCCACACTTATGTTCCAAAGAGATCCACGGTTCTCTGGAAAGCAGAGGAAGCAATCAAACACTGCAGCATCGAAAACACT